GACTTTGGTCAAGGGGCAGGCGCGGTTATCTGAAGTGAGGCTTTACAGCGTCAAAGGGATGGCTGACCAGCTAACAGAAACTACTTAGTCCCAAAAGTAAAATTCTTGTTTACGTGTTACCTCAATTCTCCCCCGGAGCCTCCTCACGGCCAAGGGCATGCGGGTCAAAGCCCCACACAGAGGGAGGGCAGAAACTTGAATGAGGCAACCCCCGAATTCCTTTAGTGTGTCACGCTACAGCGGATCCAGCTGCTGCTCTGCCCCGGTGCCCCCTGCTCCACAGTAGACTGCTGGGCGAGTCTTCAAAAGGAGAGGACCGTGTCTTCTGGAGCACGTCCATCCCCATCCCCCTCCTGTTCGCACCGACAGTTCTGTGCTATATGGCTTTGAAAAACCTTGCAGAAGGTCCCATTTACCTTTGTTTGAAGGTTTCACAGTCAAGAAGTTGGACTACTCTGCACCACAGTGACTCCTTTCCCACCGATGATGCTCCTTGAGGGTAACAACTCTGCCTATCGGTGTCACTGTCATCCAAAAATTCCAGCACAGAGGCAGGGAGCTTCCCGAAATGTAGGTCTGCGAGGGCACGCACACAGAGGAGCTGTGTCACTGTGGAGGTCTGCACGTGTCTTGCAAGGGAGGGGACTTTTGACAGTGTTTGATAGCAGAGCATTCCAACCTAGGAGGAGTTCCAAAAAGGTGGCGGGTTGGACTAAGACGGCCACTGTTGTCTACATTAGATCCTGTTCAGTACTTTGCAAGATCATGATAAATATATATGGAAAGAGGGACTTTAAAATAAATAACCATCATGGCTGCAAATGCAGCCGGTCTTGGACAGTCTGGTTAGCAATACCAGTTCCTCAACAGCTTGTCAGTGCCTTTCTTTTGGGGACGCTGTCATGTGCAATGGTTCCCCTTTTGGGTTTCCATGTGAACCAGAGGACAGTTCTTGCAAGCTGTCCTTCAGAAACACGGGGCACTTTTAGTGTATGGAAAGCAAACCCAGGCCTGACCTACAAGGCACTGGGTTGCAAGTCTCCCATCGGACCGAGGAAGCTATTCCTACCACTGCCCACTCGTGGGTCTCTCCCCTCTCGGGAACAGTGGTGATTCCAGAGGAACACAGACAGAAAAGCGCAGTGTCGTATAGTATCAGAGAATGAAATCGTAGGTGCCACTGGCATCAAGTGCCACAGCTCACGTTGGAGTCCAGCCAGGAAATTGCTCTTGGTCAGATTCTTATCTGCTCTCCTTCCCTTCCCAAATCGCCCTGAAGGTCTCAGAGCCCTTCCTCACAGGAAAGATGGATCAAGAGTGCGGGAGAGTGTCTAGGGAAGGAAATATCACAATGGTTTGGAAAAAAATAACCTCTGTGCTGCAGAGCAAGGTTTTTCTTAATCACGTGGAGTGGGGAAGGAATAAAGCTACACGGGCATTTCCCAGGGCAATCTCAGCTCAACGCAGAACGACCCAGAGGATCTGCAAGAGAGGAGAAAACTGAGTCAGAACAAGAGCAACCTGGCATCGCGTCCAGTAGCGCCAACACTGCGTCCTCCCCAGAGCCGTGCCAATGGTCCCTGTGGGCCGTGACCCCAATGAAAGAGTCAGCCCCGGAGGGAAGGGCCATGCTGACTCCCACAGTCACCAACTAGCTCGCCCCGAGGCAAAAGGCTTCTTTTCCTTAGAGAACATTCATCTTAACAGCACTCCACATCCAGGCATCGGAGCAGCTGCCGCTCTGCCCAAACCTCACACAGGCCTCTTATCCCCCCTCAATCGCGTGCTTATCAGACAGCTGGCCAAGCCACCCATTCCCCCGCATCTGTCTGAGAACAGATACACATGGACCCGAGTATGGCTCCTCTTAGGAAACCTTCCTGAAACAAAACCACAAGCAGCACCTAGATGCTGTGTGCCCTGCACTTGGTATCCCTCGTGCTTGGGTCTGAACACAGCAGCTGCTCAGTAACGTTGGGATCCAAAGCTCTGGAGAAAATGTCTACCCGCTACTGAAGTGCACTGCTCTGGCGAGTTCAGAGTGCAGCACACGCATGCGTCGAAGAGGCGCCTAGGACAGTGGGATCTCACGTGCTCCTGAGCACGTGGGCACAAGCTGCAGACATGGAGCACGCTGTGCTTCAGAACAAAGCACTGCCGCCGGCTTCACGGCCAGTCCCTCGGCGCCCTCCCCTCCCCTCCCCCCCGCCGAATCTACCGCATCTGCATCTGAAAAGCCTCCCCCTTCCTCCAGGGGTCTGCACCCAGTGCAGCCGTGCTGCCTGCTCGTTTCGAAACCAAACGCTACACGCTACACGTAGAGTACTGATCTACGACCCACAGGACGGCTTGGGAAGAAGAGCTCTGCCGTTAGAAATGCCTCCAGACCCACAAACGTGTCTTACAGTGCGTGTGCACGAGGGGGCAGTCTCGTCACACCATCACAT